ATTTCCCCAATTATTTATGTTATCAAATAATCAAATGCTATCAGAAAACAATATTCTCCTTTAGAAAGTTCGCTTTTCAGTTTTCCTCACGTAAAAATGGATGAACCGACTAATCTATTCGTTGCAACGAGTCCGAAGTCTGCCTCGGTACCGCGCACAATGAGAATAACGAATTATAAAAATTACACCAGTCCGCTAACGGAGGAGAATCTGAAGCTACATGCTATGCTGGTATGTTTCTCTTTTTTGATGGCATCGTATTTCATGCGAAATTTGAATTCTTTGTTATTTCCTATATGATTTGATTGATATCATCGTTTTGATTCATTTAATTGATGAGAGCGGGAAATTTGACTTTAACAATTTTTTTTTGAATTTCTAATAAAATTTTATAGTCTAATCATTAATCAATTATTAATCTAATTAATAATTTACCTTTTTATTTTTAATATCATCCCTTTTTCGAAATAACAACAATTAAAATAAATAAAAATTCATTTTTCAATTAAATTCATTCCTTTCGATATCGATTAAACCACTGATAAGACACCACCTCGAGAAGCAAAATCACATCATGTCTTAAGCTATGTTGATCTTCAGAGACAATTGGTTGCACTCGAAGCTCAATTAAAAAGAGAAGCAGAAGCAGCACAAGCAAAATTCAATTCAGCGCTTCCAGAAAATACACCACCAGTAATACCGGAAGTTATTTATGTACCCATAAATACAAATAACGCTGCTACTGCTACTGCTTCTGCTTCTGCTACTACTACTACCACTACTACTACTACTAATACAGTTACTTCATCACCAACATCGTCTCAATTTCCAGTATCTCAATTACAAAGAAATTTATCTGGAGAAGAAGATGATTTAACACTTGCATCGCCATTAACAGAAAATCATCATCATCAGCATCGTAATTCATCATGCTTAAAAAATGAAATAATAACCAATGAACCAAAAACAATCAATGAGATTCCAATGTTACTCGATTCTTTAATAAAAAACAAGAAAAAAAGTCAAAGAATAAAAAGTATAGGGAAAAAGCTTGTTAGAAAGATCTCATTCAATTTGGAAAAAAAAAATCACGAAGATGCAGAGAATAATAAAATTTACGCCAATCATGATACAACCGAGAGGATTAACCAATTCAACAGTAGATCACTACCCTCATCACCAAGATCAGCTAATTTTCAACAAAATCATCCGTCGATAAAAGATTCAATTTCAATACGATTAGAAAAATCTACACCAGCATCACCTGATCAACCAAATTCTCGAGCATCTTCAAATATACCTATAAAACGTATATTTATCCGAAAAGCAGGCAGTGCAGATATTACAAATCCAATGTCTTCAGTTCACAATAATTCTCCTTATGCTCCTCTATCTCCTTCTCATTTGTCAATAGAATCCACATCAATAATATCCCCATCGCGGCCAACGTCACCACCAGCGCCACTACAACAGCAGCAACAACAAAGACCAGCCATTGTATCGGCAGAAAATCGAGATAGCGGGATCTCACTTGTTGCTCCAATGGGAAATCATTCACGTGATAATTCATCATCTCTACTAAGAAGAGTTGGTAATTTCTCAACTTTTAAAGAGAGAGAGGGTAGCAATAAATCGTCAACTCATTCACAACAAACGATTAAAAAGAACAAAAGTCGAATAAATGATTCATCTTCGAGAAATCATGAAATTGAACTATTGGCTTTTCGTTATCCAAGTGTGGAGAAAAGTAATGATCTAAACACTCCAATGACAAATAATGATTCGGATGAGGCAGGAATTCATTATACTGCTCTTGGTAATGTTGGATCTAGATCCGAATCTGGATTTGGAATAGATTCAGACATTGCTGTTGCAGCTTCTAATCCCATTCCTATTCATATTCCGACTATTCGTCTTCAAGATGATATTGACGAATCACCCGGCAGCTTTGATAATTACAAGAATATAAGCAATGGCAATAAAAATGAAAATCTCCATAGCACAGAAAACAAATTTAAAGAAAAAGAAAATGAATGGTCAGCTTCTTTTGATTATGATATAATACAATCACATTTAGCAGAATATGACGAAAATGGATTACCCAAAAAGAAAAAAACACACCCATTCAGATTATCAACTGAAAAATTCTCGGTATTTCAATCAAATTCAGAAAACAGAAGAACCGCATCTTATCCCGCTTCTATGAAAAATTATAAAACTAGCAACAATAGCGAGCGTCATAACAATCATACTAACATCGATCAATTTGATATCCTACCGACACCGGCTGTCATTGTAGAATGATATCAGAACCAACTAAAAAAAGGACTATAATTTTACATGATGTGTATCATCATTGTCATCTCGTCTCACCATCGACATCTTAATCCCACAATCTTACACACTTGGAATTCTTCGTTCTCATGAGGAACACAGATTCTTCAGCGAGAACAAATTACTGCAAATTATTACTTTGTGAGAATAGCAAGAAATACGTTTAGTGTTCTCGATGAGAACACTAAATTGAAATGAGATTTCAACACTGCTTACATAGCGAGATAATTTTTGTTAAATACGTATATAATGTTGAATTTTATGGTAATGGGATATGTAATATTTCTAAAAAATTGGAACGTCGATTGTTTACCGTGTGCATCCGATCCATCTACACCTTTTTGTTTTCGAAATATACACAACACCACGATTTCTCTTATATCTGTAATATATATACTTACACGAAGCTTTTTTATGTATTTTTTTTAAAAAAACCGTAATGCGTTGCTTAAATTTTTCATGTATCATATTTTTTGTATATGTAAACCATTCAAAAGAAAATGGTTTATTATGATTTCTTTTTAGTTTGTAATAGAGAGGAGACATCTAATATATAATATAGACAAAAATGTTAATTATTAATATATCAAAACGGCTTGGTCCGTAATCATTTTCTCAGGTATCGTTAATATCATTAAATTTACGCGTTTATGCATGAAAATTTATTAAAATACGATTTTCCAATAAGAAGATCCATTGTCGTATGAGATTAAGAGGTTTAGCGAGCAATAATAATGAACGCTCAACTTGAAAATAGTATTATTATTATTATTCGAAATTAAGACAAAAAAAGACATTGTCCATTTTCATAGTTCTTCGCTACACAAAAATATCATTATACCATCTAATACCTAATTCCTGGGGCACAAGATCATTCACCATCATCAAAGAAAGAGGGAAGAGAAACATTATTAATGAATAAACATTCTTCATGTTAAATAGCAAAAACTAAGATATTTTACTCACATTTTGTATTTACACACTTCAGACACTGATCCATTTTCACCATAAAATTCATACGAAAGTTCAATGTCCAAATCCCTATTGTTCTTTTTGTTAGGGGAACAAGTCAGCGTACCGGTGATTGACTCGTTCTTCTTTATGGTGATAGGATCATTAGTATAGAAGACAGTTTGTTTCCAATGTGTGTACTTAGCATGTGGACCTATTTATTATTATATATTTATATAATCAATGAATAAATAAAAAATCGAATTCGTAATAATAAAAGTTCTTGCCTGTGCTAAATTGAATTGGTTTATGGCATGCTGTAAAAGCAATATCAAACCAAGCAATAAAAGCATGAATATAATCATCTCGCGTGGCGGTTAACTTGAATGGAGCCGTGAAATTAAGATCCGATTTTTGGACGGTAAGAATATCGATTTCCTATTGTTTGTGCATTGTAAATTTAGAAAAGGATCATGTTTTTTGAGAAAACAGAAATAATAATAACAGAGAAATCATGATCTTCATAATGTAATGACAATAATACCTTTACAGCATATGGCATTGCTACTACAGCCTTACAGTCAACAGTGTCTACTAAAGGCTCTCGAAGTGCAACAGACTTGATTGAACTAAAATCAAATCCATAAACATTATCCCAAACTGATAAGAATAAAAAAAATACGATGAAAATTAACATTTCTAATGGGAAGCATCAATAAATAACCAGTTAAAAGTGGACATCTTACATCCTATTTTCTCGTCTTTATATTCACCGTCTTCAATAGCGGAGAGATATATTGTTGCCTTATCGGGAAATACAAGACCACCAGGTTTCTAGAGAAAAAAAATTATCACTTTTAAATTACTAAACGGATCATCAAAATGAAAGGTTCTATATTATTCATACCCACCAAATATTTATCCCGGGCAACCAGAACAGTGTCCAACATCGATTCATACAACAAAAAGTAACCCATCCATTCGGAGATGATAATGTCCACCTGCTGTACCGGCAACTCAACTTCTTCCATTTTGCCTTTTATGAGCGTGATCTCTGAAAGCAAATAGATACATATATATAATATTTCGACAATAAATGATTTTATGTAGGGTTGATGTCGTGAAAATTCGAGAAATTCAAAGATTACGGTACACAAAATATCTACTGTCATCTAATCTGTTATCCTTAACGATCTGACGAGCTTGATCAATGATATTCGACATGTCAATCTAGTAACGTGACAATGGGAGCAAGCACAAATGTCAGTGTAAGAACGGTAAGCTGCGAGAATGACATGAATTATATATTACACTAAATGAACTCACCCCATACACGTGTTCAGCTCCCGCTTTCGCGGCGAACATAGATAGAATCCCAGTACCACATCCAACATCTAGAACTATTTTATCTTTAAAAAGGTGACGGTTCTGATAGATGGAATTGCGATATGAAAGGGTTCGTACTTCGTCCTTTAACATTTCCTCATGTATACCTTAAAATAAAATGTAAAATTAACCTGATTGATTGTTAATTCAACCAAGACTCTTCCTAGAAAAAATACTTACCAAAATGAGCATACGAGTCAAAATAATAGTCTTTGCTTGTCATTTCATTTTCTTTGTGATCATTTTGGTTCGAAGCAGAAGGTTCTGACATTTTCTAACTTTGTTCAATTACAATAAGAACAACTTTAAACGACGCAAATATTTAATTGTTATGAATATCTGATATAATTGAATTTTCACGTGATATAAATAGCAATCATTGATAATCGGTCTGAATAATTACTTAGTCTTTAGAATATGAATTTTATTTACAGAACAAATGTTTCGAACAGCATATATGATAGATGAACAGTTTGTTTATACACGAAGATGAAGAGAATAAATGAATTATGTACTACGAAAAAAAGTAGATAATATAATATATACGAATGAAACGATTTTTGGGGGGGGGGGGAAGGAAAGAACAATAGTAAATTAATATGTACTACGGAGATAAAAAATTAATTAGAACAGAACTGACTTGATGCTTTTATGAATAATGAAGATGAGAATGTTTATGTACAAAAGTAAAAGAACAGGGTGGATCAAAGAAATTATTAGAAAAAAAATGTCAATAACAAAAATTAAATCATGATACATGTACAAGAGAATTCTATGTCCTCCCAATGAAAGATGAGAGAGCCTGCTCAGAATTATTATGAATGAATCATCTATATCCAAAATAATAATAATAAACAAGCAAATAATTAAAGGATCTAACAAATTGACAGAAGAATGAAAGAATAAAAATAATAATAATAATAATGATGGTAGAAGTAGTCTATATAATAAAATCAATTAAATCAATAATTGATAATTTTTTGGGTAAAAAAGTAGTTCATATCACAATATAACTTTGCCAGCTCAATCAAATTGAACTAGAAAGCTAAAGAGTTATAAAGAGAAATGTGATTATTAATTTTTTGTGACATTGTCCGTACGTCCAAAGTTCATTCATTTCATTCATTCAATCAATTATTAAGTTAACATGGTATTTCGCGAATACTACAATCTGATGTCCAATTATCTTCCGGTATTGAGCAACGTATATGATTTTGTGAGCTGGTGGTGTTCGCATTACTATTATTAGGTGGTGTACTTATGCGATGAAAAGAGAAATAGGGCTGTGATGGTTTTGGTGATGATGAGGGTGAAAATTCATCGTCTCGCGGAGGGGATGATGCAACGGATCTTTTTGAATGCCTTGCCATTGCTATTGCCGATGGCGTTGTAGATGAAGCAATCAAACGTCTATTATGATTGGTTGGAAGAGATGGAGATTCCACAATATTTATTGGTGATAAACTTCTAGCAATTCCAAATGCTGAAACCGAAGGTACAGGTGATCTAGCGATAACTGAAGACTCCGAATCAGTTATTATTTCACTTGATTGATCGGATACAGAGACATTCCAAGTCTTATTTAAACACGCGGCCTCGGCTGCTTCAATCTCTTGTTGGAGCGCACGGAGTTCGAGTGATAATGAAGAGAGATGTGTACGGAATCGATCATAATCGGATTTTTGGTCTCGACGACACGAGTCGATTCCATCGGACAGCTCTTCGCAAAGAACAAGTCCTTCTTCGTCATTTTTCTGCTCTTCCTCAACTTCAGATTGGATTGATGTTGAATAATCATCGGAGGTGTCTTCGTTTGAGGAGGAGGAATCATTTTGGCTGAAATAATCATATTCTTGTTCCGATTGTCGGTCTTTTCCAATACCCCGAGTATAGTGAGAGCTTCGGAGATTACCTCCGGGTGTGGCGAACTCGTCCATTTCGTCATCCCAGTGTGGGAATAGCCAATGATGTTCGGCGTATTTTTCGTCATCTCTCGGATATTCATACCGTGAGAAATTGGGGTAGTTATAAGGGGAATTGCTTTTTTGTTCTGGTGGTTGTGCAATTTTGATGACCATTCTTCTGTATTTTTTTCTTTTGT